AAGCCTGGTGAACCAGTCGAGCTCAAGAAATGGAGGAGGCAGGAGCAGTAGGCAATTACCGGAAGCTCTTCCAGCTAATCCGCACCACTGGTCCCAGAAAACCAGGCGTCAGTGAGACAATCAGAGACAGCGCGGGTACACTGATACACAATAAGGAGCACCGTATGGCTCGTTGATCGGAACACTTTGAAGATCGGTTCAGCTGGCCCCTGCTCCCTTACCTCTTCCTACTCAGGTGATGCAGGACGAGTCATGGACGGTTAGTTTAGAGCCTCGGTCATAGGCCGAGGGTTGAAACGCAATCACAGCTCTTAATCGTTTTCGTGCCGCTGTCCCGGATTCCCTCCCACCTGCACTATTTAAGGATGGAGGTGAGGTCCTCTGCAAAGCACTGACCTCCTTATTCGTATCTATCTAAAAGGAAGTGTCCCGGCTAATTGGAGCGAATCGATTATGGTGGCAATATACAAGAAGGGCAATCGCACAGACTGTGCGAACCACAGGGGTATTAGTTTAACGCCAGTTGTGACAAAATTATTGGCCTCGATTATCATTCGTCGCCTCACTGCGGAACGGGAATCTCGGATTAAGGAAGAGCGGGCCGGTTTCCGCCCAGGACGTGGCTGTATAAACCAGATATTCACTTTGCGGCAGGTGCTAGAGCAGCGCCACGCATACCGCAGACCGACAAAAGCTGTGTTCCTCGATTTCAAGAGTGCGTTCGATTCAATCGATCGGTGCATTCTGTTCGAAATACTTGGCCGGAAAGGTGTTCCCACGAAATATGTGAACATTCTTCATGCTCTATACTCGAACACTGGAGGCCGCGTCGGGGTCTACGGAGTCCTATCGGATAGCTTTCCGACCACAAGTGGCCTTCATCAGGGTTGTCCGATTTGCCCATTTTTGTTCAATTTCGTCGTAGATTCTATCACGGAGTGTTTCATTGCGGAATCTCACGATGTAGGCGTTGAAGTGCTTCCTGGTGAAAGGTTAGTTGATCTAGATTATGCGGACGATATCGTCTTGCTTTTCGACGATGTTGCGGCGGCACAATCAACCCAGAATAGCCTGTCCAGAGTGGTCCAATTATTTGGTATGCACTTTTCACCTTCAAAGTGCAATGTATTGCTGCAAGACCACCAGCCACTTGCTGACCCTTTGACGCTTGCTAACGAGAAACTCGAGGTGCTTGATCAATGCACTTATCTTGGGAGCTGAATTAGGAACAATAGGCGCATAGAAACTGACGTGAGCTCACGCATTGCAAAGGCCAGAGGTACCTTCTTGAATCTGCGGCATCTTTGGCAACAGAAGCGAATTTTCCTCCATCTGTATGTCCTTGTATACAAGGCCACAGTGAGGGTCGTTCTGCTGTATGGTAGTGAGACTTGGCCCCTTCGGTCTGAAGATCTGAGGCGCCTTCAAGTCTTTGATCATCGTTGTTTGCGGTGCATTGCTGGTGTTGGATAGCACCAGCGTGTTCGCAACGATTATGTGCGTAGGCGAGTACTAGATAGTGATAAACATGCTAGCCCCCTAGAACAACAGATAGCACTGAATAAGTTGCGTTGGCTCGGGCACGTGCTACGTATGCCTGGTCACCGCTTACCCAGCAGGGTCTTGTTCAGTCTACTAGGTGTAGGGTGGGGCAAGGATCGATGTGGACAGAAGTTGACTTGGCAGCGGGAAATGAAGTCACTGATGACCAAACTGGGTGCCGTTGGTCCGTCTCGCCTTCCGGGCTGGAGCCCACGTGGCTCGCCTTGTGCTTGGCTCGAGACTTTACAGGACATGGCTCGCAACCGACTCCACTGGAGGGTCTGCTGCCGTCTCCTAATCGGATTGCCTGTTTAAAGTGTGTTTGGTGCTGAGTTATCTGCGGGGTAATGGCTGATTATGGCGCGTGGCAGTGAAAGCCGCAAGGAAGCTGTCTCGCCGATGCCGCCTTATCTTTGCACGATTGCCAGCTGTTTGTGACGGTATGTTGTCTACACAAGGTGTAGGCGCCTTGATCCTGAATGTTTGCTTAGGGCATTAAGGTTTTCAGGTAAATTCCCCTTCTCTCCCTGTTATTTTTTTATTTCCTATGTCCTCATGGCTGTATGGTAGCGAAGCATCAGTTCAAATGGCAGATGTAATGCTGGTGATGATGCCCATCAACAATTAACAGAACTGGTCTAATTTCTGGTATAAATGAAATGAAATGGTTTATAAACTAGTCACTAAAACAAGCACTGTCCATCCAACCTTTTTCATAATGTATTTGGCATTGTCGGGTCCATTTTGCATCCAAGAAACTCTTAGATTTTTGGCCTCATAAATGATATGTGGGAAAGGCATGATCCCATCAGCGCGAGCACATCCTTGCACTGTTATAGAATCTCACCCTGAGCCATCAACAACATGAGAAAGGTTTTTGAACCCCTTTTCACAAATCACTTTCAGTCGCTTGAGGTCGAGTTGAAAGCCACTCTCATCAACGCTGTAAACACTTTCGGGCCTATTCCTAATGTCATTGATTGTAAGGGTTTCATTAAGCGGCTGAAACACTCTTCAAATGTCTGTTTATTTGCAACCAACTGGACTTTTGATATTTTAACTGCTTTGGTGTTCGGCATGTCAGATCCGAATATCTCTTTAAAAAGCAGTATAGCCAATCTCGACCAGATGCATTCTTCTTCCACGGAACAGTCCTATCTTGACCAACAGAAGTAATAAAATCACCCACAACTTCCATCGCTTCTGTGCATGTGAATACAAACCCCACTGGGCAACAAATTGTAAACAGCTAGAAAATTCTTCATCTTATGCTTCAGTGAGAACTGTCGGCCGGTGGCCGAGTGGTCTGCACGTTTGGTTTGCAACCCTAAGGTCACCGGTTCGAATCCGCGTAGAGGTGGGCGTCCTCGCGGTATACTCAGCCCGCGCGCGACTAGTGGTGGTCGCGCGGGAGCGAAGAGCCGTTACGGCGTACAGCTGAGAACTATTTTTCTACCAGCTCCCGTTTCGCTATTTTCCATTTTACCTGGTCTCGACCTGCCTCCTTTTCAACTTATACAACTTGACTGCTTTCTTGTACCTCATGATACCTTTTCTTACTTGAGCAACGGCTTGTTCCATTGCAGCTATGTCATATGCTGTCATCTTACGTTTGTAGTTTCTAACCTCTCTGAAACTCGACAAGCAATCAACATTAGACCACTCACGTCCAAAACGCGCAGAAATAAACATGGGTTAGATGCGCACCGTGATAAGTGGAATTGCCCCACAAGCTTTTAATTTGGAGTGCGTAATTTCCCCGACGTGGTAGTAAGTTGTCACCCAGGAACGTCAAATCAGCTCATGAGACAAATAATGTAAACGTGAACAATTATCAACACTATGACTATCTTACTCGATTTATGGCAACATAATGAGTTTTAAAACCATTATACACCTTTAAAAGGTTCAACGTCTCCTTACATGCAGATGACTGCATTGCTCCTGTATTTTATATCTCTAGCCGCACACTTGTACATGGTGCCGCTCGTATATAAACGGGAAGCTGGCAAATTGGTATCACTAAAATGATGGCTTTTGCATTGACCAAAACTACAATTTACTAAAATGCTATATAACTAGCAGAGGTGTGGAACTACCCCCGGTGCAGAATTACCACAACTTACTGTACATGACAAATGAGATTGGCTCTGTATGTGATTCAGAGGCTTGCACGCCTTCGTTTTTCGTGAAACGACGGTCCGCACAGCATCCTTCATCGTACTGTCAGCCGGTAGCTGGTTTGTAATCCTTATGTCACCGGTTCGACTCCGCATAGAGGCGGGCGTCCTCGCGGTATAGCCCATGCGCGACCGGTGGTGGTCGCGTGGCAGCGAACCGTCGGTACAGTGTTCCGACGTACTGCTGATGACCTTCCTCGTATTAGCCGGAGCTGATTATATATATATATATTTATTTATTTATATATCACAATCTGTGTACAGATATTGTGCCATCGGAAGCATGGCGGAAAAGGAAAACAGGGTTAAATTAAATGAAGAAAGAAAACAATTTTTCACTCGCAGTTTTTGAGTATTTTTTAATGTTTTTGGGCGAGGGAAGGGGATGATCCATATAAGGTTCGTCATTGGGCGAGATACTACCCGGTTGCCCAGGCTGAAGTAGAGGATTGTTTTAAGGGCTTCATCCTTCTGCTGATCTTCACGAGAACCGAGTCAGTAAATCAGGCTGGTTTCTCTCGAGTCGTTGTTTTCTTGTTCACATATTCGTACAGCCGTGCGCGTGAACCACATCACTTCTGCAGTTTGCCCACCAACGTACTGTTCCTTGACCTGTGGACCGCAGTGGATTCGTTTGATAGAGTCTCCTGTGGTCAAACTAATGTTATGTCTTTATACTCCGAAATCCATACACTGTGACTCTTGTTAGTTTAAAGGTCCCTGTAAAGTTTATCACATCTATGAACTAAACTGAACATTGAACTGAAGTTATTCCAAGCGACCAACAATTAAATAAGCCATCGTGCAGTGATGCACGCTTCAACATTGCCGTCACATCTTCAATATACAGGTCGCTGCTTTGAGGGCTTGGCTAACACGCGGCCGAGTGGTTCGCGTCGCCTGCATGGGTGATCTCCCAGTATCCCTAGTTTGCCGATGCCCAGAAAGATTAGACATGTGTTTTGTAGTCCATTGGTCACCGATTCGTACTCACAGGTGCGGGCGGCCTAGCGGTATACCCAAACCAAGCGCGACTGGTGGTGATCACATGCTGGTGTACTGCTGATGCCTTTGCGCACCATTCGCACTTTTCTACAGTAAGTCATTCCCGTTACTTCATATCAACTTGCAACTTTTGATCTATTCTTTTCACTCACCTCATGTGTTGTCATTTTAGGTGCTGCAGAAATCCATGGCTGAGGGCGTTACATCACCGTCTTTCATTTGAAAAGGGCTAACTCCATTCGATTTGCCAGTAATTCAACTTCAGCTCTCCTCATGAACGCCCTCGATTCGTCTGATGAACACATCCAGCGTCCGCGCACTCCTTGTTTTGATGAATTTCCCACTGAATCAACAACCGCTCTCCAGACCTCCAAAGTACACGACACCTGTGCGACCTGTGGACAACGTTATCCTGCTAATGTGATGCAGCAGCACACTTCTAACTGCAAAGGTTCACATGTGTGCTCTTATTGCGGGTCCACGTTTTCTCGATCTTCCTACCTTAGACGTCACGTGAATCGGATGCATTCTTCTTTTGGACGCCCCATTTGTAGTGTTTGCTTGAAGACTTTCTCTTCTACCAGCGCTTTATCGTTGCACCAGCGCTTGCATCGTGGTAAGTTCCATAGTTATCCACATCGTCTTTCTAGATGATGCTCCTTACCGTTGCGAATTCTGCGGCGCACGGTTCTCCCAAGGATGCCATCTAGAGTTCCATCTAGATTCTTACCATGCTCATTTGGAGTTGAAAAACATGCAGAAGCCTCTTACTTGCGACTTTTGTGACCGAAAGTTTTTATTCTCCATCAGTTTACGAAATCATCGGAAGCAACATTTGAAACCCAAACCCAAAGGTAGGTCCTTGTGACTTCTGAAGCTAATTATTGCTTCAGAGCTAACTTGCCCAAAATGCGGTCATTCGTTTGCGTTTCGCAGCGAGCTTGAGCGTCACTACATCACACATCTGAAGAGACCGGTTTTTAACTGTTCCCTTTGTTCAAAATCTTTTAGTCGTCTCAGTCGACTAAACGCACATATGCGACGTCACCTCGCTCCTGACTTGTTATCTTGTCGATACTGTTTCCGAACATATGCTTCGCAGGCCTACTTGACACAGCATCTGAAGAAACATTGTGTGAGTGCTGCAAAACTTGAAGATTTAACTCCTTCGAATCTTTTTGGCCTTGATCCTGAAACCATATTCGATAAGTTCGACGTAGAAACGGGACAAGATAATATACTGGATGAGGTAAGCATGCTTTTAAAATCTAACAGCTGTTAGCAGGAGTCATCTCAGTGGAACAGCGCATCGGTACCCTCAGAATGTCTGCCACCGGAAATCAACTTTCTTAGCCATGTCTTGTTCGACGATGACAATAACAGCCATCAACTATAGCAGCAAGAACGGCGAGCTTTTATGGCGTTTTTGCCGTAGTTTCCTAGTCTTCCCCATTCAATGTGTGCGGCTTGCATTTGACATTTTCCGTTATCCGGTACACATTTGATCTACTTACATAGATTTCTTATGTCTTCTTGCTTCTTCGAATATGCTGCATTTCGGCTTTTACGAGTCTTTCTAAATCGACTTGTCTTTCTGGTTTCTTGCAACTGATTCACGCATTTTTAATTATCCAAAAATTTGTTATTCTCTGCTGGCATTTCAGTTCTTCATCCGGGCGTGTTACCTCTGTTCATCTTCGCCACTTAAAAGATGGCTTTTGTCTTCGCGCTGTTCAACTTGATGAATCAGTGCATTTATTGATGATTACTTATCGATTCGCTTCAATTCGGCTTGCTTGTGATATTTTGAATGCTTTTTGCGGTTACCCATGTGTTTCACGACATCCGCCAATCGGTTCTTTTCACCATGGTATCGATTGTTTTTTGAAGTGGTTTTTGTTACCAGTTTCAGGTGTGCTTCATTCGTATGTGAATGATGCACTGGTTTCAAACCTGGTGTCTTTCCTATTGGTACTCGTGGCGATCTTTGGACACTTTTCCCCTTTCTCGCCCGGTTTTGATTTTCTCGGTGATCAGAGTTCTTCTGAGGTCCCTGCTACGGCGCAGCTTTTGCATATGCAACCCACTGTCAGTCATAGTTGCTCTTAGCCGCTTTCTAAGTTTATTTTTCTATGTTTCTTGGAACATCTCACATGTACTCACTTACCACGGTTATCGTGCTGTGTAGTTTTATATGCATTTCCGTTTTTGCCACTTGTCTATTAAACGTACTATATTTGTGTCTGCTGCATTTGTTCAACTGTCCTTTAAACTGGAATTTTTGTTTCTCACAAGAGCGAGTAAGTGAGAATTATGGTGTGTTGCTTACCCGCACATGTATGCCCAGGGGGGGGGGTCAAATCTCATCATATTTCGCATAGCCACTGCAACACAACCTGTGTTTCGAATGATAATGCGTTCATCATTATCATTCTTTATATCTTCCAATTTTATGGTAAGTGTGCTACAACTTGTCTATGGAAATGACGTCAATGCCCCTTCCTGTAAGTAAAAACGCGAGCGTCAACTAGATCCTGTTGTTCTTCAGCCCTGTCGTTTCTCTCAACGATAAAGCTTACTCATTTCCATGGCGAAATCATACTTCTTCCGTCTTATGTGTTGAATCTTGGCGTATTCCGTTATTACGAGAAATTTGTACAGTCGCACAGTTATTCGATTCGGCTCGAACTTTGGAGCACTTCTCAATTGTTGCTGTGCTCGTTAGTTGTGCAAGCGATGTGGAATTTCTCTCGGTATCTGCAGTATTGTCTGAGAGCTATGCTGCCTTCAAGATCACTGCGTAGGGCGAATGCAGGAATTAGTTAATAGGGTTTTCGGTGGACGTCTACTATTTTAAGGTATCTCGTTTCGTTAACTGAATCCGCTGTGATGGACTCCGCCCTGTTGGTCTTCTATGGTTCGCGAACCAGCGTACGATGGATGTAGTTGTAATAGTGGGGAATGTCAGCGGCAAATTAAATGCGAAGAAACAGACAGTAATCAACCAGAAGGACCGTAAATGGGGGGCTACTGCGACGGTTTTGTTTAGTTCTGAACTGTGCCATATGCATGACGTCTGCAATGCATTCATATGCCCAGTCTCGAAGCTCTTATCAATTTCGATAGAAGCCACCAACCTGACTTACGTTCGGGCAGTCCTATGCCGTTTCGCCTTGTTTTCTAGTGGCATCCTCAGGCAATGCGTTTACCCATCTCGCTACGATAAACTTCATACTGTACCACTTCTGCGAATCTCGGTTAACAGTGATCGGTGTTTATCTCAGCCCGTAGTGTAATATCATTTTAATGCTACTCTGTCATGTCCCGTTTCGTCCTTTTTAGGCTAGATGAACCTGTCGAAATAAGCCTTATACACCCGTGTGGGAACATTTTCAGCGATTTGCACTAACACTGCGGATTTACTACTGCTACTACATAGAATCGATGCGAAAATAATGCAGCGACAAGAAACACAATGATATTTCATTTTCAATCAAGCAAAGGTTCTCGCAATTGATGAATCATTACTTTTGGATCGACCAACAAGCGAGACAGAGATAGGGCAAGATGGAGCAGCGATACCAAGAGGTAGGAGAAAATACACCTTTAAATTTTTACCGCGTAAAAGAAATCGATGCCGTACTGGCTGGAATAGTGTGTTGGGGAGAGAGGGATCGTTTGGTATCTTGGATGAAAAGTTAAGGCGTACGTCCAAATGCTTGCTGACGATAAAATCAACGAGGGACTGCCTTATTCAGAGCACAAGAATAGTATAATCCATTTGATGAAGTCCGGGAAATTAACAGGGAAACAGTCCAATCACTGGGGAATACATGCATTTACAAATCTTTGAACTAGAACACTCGATACGGTGATCATTTTGAGCCTGAGGCGGCCAACGGTTGAAATTCCGAGATAAGGTGATCAGCAAACTTTTTTTAGTCTCTGACAGTGCTGCGTGAGGCGATACCTAAACCTTTTTCAACTACAACAGAGAACACCACTAAGAAACTTTCCTTTAAATTCCAACAGGGGGTACCATATTTTAAGCGAACATTTGTGAAACCGATGTACATCAGTCGTCGTTTTTGTAGGTGATTACCTCTCCTCCGCGGTGTTGGGGCTTTCCTGGGCGGTCGGATCTAATATGTCGATAGCCATTGAGTTTCACGACTACATCTTCAATGTCGGGATGTAACCAACTCTCTTGTTACCTCACTATGCCTGCGTTAGAAAATTTTTCTCGATGTATAGACTACTCTAGATCAACAATATTCCCGAGAAACTTTCGGACATTACTAGACAGGATAAGCAAAATTTGTGCATTATTAGCAGGACGGCGTCCGGATCCAATTTGCCAGCCGGCACGGTGCTTTTACTTCTTCCCACAAATTTTTGATGACTGTTGTGATTTTATGGCCATATTCGCCTAGTTGAATTTCGGACAACTCTACTGAGCCAACTCAGACGATCAACAGAGTAAGTAAACATTGGTGACATGCGCGCCGTCCCCATGGTCCACGGCATTCGTTTCAGATTTTCCGTCACTGTGACTGCGAACTGCCACCCGCGCCTACAGCGGAACCATGGGTGCTTTGCGGTACACCACTCACAGCTCCATCCGCATGCTTCATATATAGTGTATACATATATATTTGCAACAGCCTGCGAATAAAAATGGAGCATCAAAAGCATGGAACTCAAAGGAAGTACTGTTGTAAAACGAAAACACGACACAGAGGAGTCCATGGTTTCGTCAGAGGGCATGATCCTATCCGGTTGCCCAAGCCGTGGTACGATGTTGTCTTAGGGGACACCACCCAGAGCCTTTGGCCGAATAACGTACCCTCAAGGCAGTGGAGCGAATTCAGGGAATCGCGCCCATTGGCAGCCGATGACTGCTTGTTCGGCAAGCCAACCACTTAGTGTAAACCTGAGGGTCCAAAAGTGGTGGACTTTTGGCTTGGAAAGACGATTAACTCAGAGCCGGCCCCAGCTCCTTCAAACTGCATGTCATTTATATGAAAGAAGGTGACACATGTACCGAACGTACGCAGAGCGGTGGCTGTGACTTTACACTTCTTCACTGGATGATGCAACGAAGACTGGGCATCCCGTCTGCCCTCCACTTTTGTTGAAAGATGGCGGTGACTTCTTTTATTGGACTGGATTCTCTTTTTAACACGATTTGGGACACTGTAAAAGTGCCTTCAGACTGGAGACTATCAACTATCCTGCCAATCTTTAAGAGGAGTCAACATACTTTGTGCGAAACATCGGGGCATTAGCCTTATTTCCATTGCCTCATAACTTTTCACGGGTATCATTCTTCGACAACTTACTGGTCCCCGTGAGGACCGAATCACAGAAAGCCAGGCTGGCTTCCGCCCTGGCCATAGTTGCGTCGACTACATATTTATTCTTTGCCAAGTTTTAGAACAGAGACACACATACAGACGACCGACTATGGTGCTTTTCCTTGACTTGAAGGCCGCCTTCGACTCTGTTGACCGCTCTAGGTTGTGGCACTGCTTATCCATGAAGATCGTGCCAGCTAAACTCCTTTCCATTCTGAAGTCCCTCTACCGAGAATCCCGAGACCATGTAAGGGTCTACGGGAAACTGCCTCCAGAATTGCCCACGACAAGTAGGGTTCGCCAGCGTTGTCCTGTTTCCCCTTCCTTTTTCAACTTTGTGATCAAAATGATCATGAATGACTCGGTTCTTTCAGACTATTCTGGAGTGGAGGTTCTGCCTGGCGACCGACTGACATACCTGGAGTATGCGCTCGACATAATCCTCCATGGGTCTAATGCATTGGCTATGCAAACACTAGTGCACAGACTTGTGCGTCGCTCTGCACGCTTCGACATGTACTTTGCACCTTCAAAGTGCAAAGTACTGTTGCAGGACTGGGCCGACACCTGTGTAACTTATTCCGAGCAGCCACTGGTAGTGATGCATCGGTCCACTTATCTTAGCACCTGTATTATCTCTGACGGTTACATCACTGAGAGAGTTACTTCGCTTATCAGCAAGGCCCGTGTGGCTTTCCAGAGACTCAACCATCTATGGAGACGGCGGGATATCAGCTTGTCAGTGAAAGGTAGGGTGTATAACGCTGCGATAAGGCCTGTGTTACTGTATGGATCAGAGACCTGGCCAGTTCGCAGTGAAGACATTAAACGCTTGGCCGTGTTTGACCACCGGTGCTTGCGGAGTATTGCTCACGTCTGATGGGAACACCGGGTGAGCAATGCTGAGGTCCGCCAGTTGGTTTTTGGCAAGAAGCCTTCTGGTGTCTCCCTCGGTTGTTCGTTAAATCTTAGTCGCTTCGTTGGCTACGCCATATCCTGCGTTGATCGGTTTCCTTGGTGTGCATTATACGCCGTGGCTGCACCAAGTTGGGCGAAATCGCGAGATGGCCAGTCCATGACATAGCATAGAAGCTTGAAGAAATTGACTGAGAGACTTGGTCAGACTGGTGCGTGCCGTCTTCCTGGATGGGGCCTCGGGACGGTCCACACTAATGGTTGGAGACCGTGTCAGATATGGTGCAGTCACGAACTCAGTGGCCTTCTTGCATTCGGCTTTTTCATCTGGTTGTTAATTTTCGTTCCGTTCTGATTAGTCTAACGCATTTCCTTCTTGCTTTCATTTTCTCTACATTCTATTTGCACCCAACCCCACTGTCTTACCGGTGTTATTTCTGGTTATTGTTACCATGTAAGTCATGCCAACTGAATCCACCCCATTTCGGTGCTCGGATCATAGTTGATCAACTGGACTGAACCCACCAGCGACTGGCATTCTCTTGGTGTCATTAATCGAGGTGGAAGCACTCAACCGCTAGGAATTTTGTCAACATTCGCATCAGCGGACTGATGGTTAATACGGATAAAGCGCCAAGGCTTAACAAGTCCCGTGGGGTTATTGGTGTGCATTGCGTAAGTTCAAAAGAGGTTATACTAAAGTGAAACACGCAACTTTTTGCCCACCATGTTATCCACATTAACAAAGTGTATCCGTCTACCCCGATTTCGTGGGGTTTCGTGAACGTAGTGTTTCTCTGCGTCTTGTCGTCACTCAGTGAACAGAAATCAAATCAG